CAAGTTTTCAGATAACTATTATCGTGCAGAAATGATTGCTGCCCTTGCCAACTCTGTTACACCTGCGGTCAGTGTGAATGATGAAGTCCAAACTTTGGATAACTTGAATCCTGATGTGAGACTCATTCTTGAAGAAATCACCAGGTTTTTGAATATGGAAAAACTTCTGCCAAGTTATAGGCATACCATCACTGTGAGTTGTTTGAGAGCCATTCGAGTACTTCGGAAGAATGGACATGTGCAGAGGGACCCAGCTCTTTTTAAGTCTTATGCAGAGTATGGCCATTTTGCGGACATCAGGATAGTAGCTTTGGAAGCAGTGGTTGATTATACTAAAGTGGACAGGAGTTACGAAGAACTACAATGGCTACTCAATATGATCCAGACCGACCCTGTGCCATATGTAAGGCATAAGATTTTAAACATGTTGACGAAGAATCCACCCTTTACTAAGAATATGGAGTCTCCCTTACGCAATGAAGCTCTGGCGGATCAACTGTGGAAGCTTATGAATTCTGGGACTTGCCATGACTGGAGGTTGCGATGTGGGGCTGTGGACTTGTACTTCACACTGTTCGGCCTCAGTAGGCCTTTGTGCTTGCCCTTGCAAGAACTTGGGTGGTTTCTTAATCTGAAAGAGAAAAAGGCCGTGCTGAATCCTACCATAATCCCAGAGGTGATCACAGGCAACCAGGAAGCCACGAGTAACCCCACCAACCACCCTCAGATGGGTGGATTTCAGAACACGCAGGGAGTGAAAAGGAAGGCTGAGTCACCACTGGACTGTCCATTAGAACCTGTTAAGATACTGAAGAAGAATGAGGATAGCAGTAAAGACAAACTCAGGTTCTTGAGTTCTCAAGATGAGGAGGAAATGGATATGGACACCGTTCATGATAGTCAGGCATTTATTTCCCATCATTTGAACATGCTGGAAAGGCCATCAATGCCAGGCTTCTCCGAACTTCGGCCAGCCGTCTCTTGGTCGGCTTCATTACCTCAACACGTGATGGGCTGCGATGGCACCCCCAGCACCAGGGCCCCGTGGAGTATCGAGCACGCATGGAGAGGGACAGGTAAAGAGCTGTCGCCTCTGGAGATGAGCCTACATCCCGCGGTGGCCACGCCACTGGCCATGTT